AAAAATTATGAAGATTCCTCAAAAAATTAAAAACAGAACTACCATATGATCCAGCAATTCCATTTACAGGTAGTCATTTGAAGAAAATGAAAACACTAACTTGAAAAATATATGAACCCCTATGTTCATTGCAGCATTATTTATAATAGCCAAGATGTGGAAGCAACTAAGTGTCCAGCAATAAATGAATGGATAAAGATATGATATGTATGCACAATGGAATATTAGTGAGCCACAAAAAAAGAATGAAATCTTGCCATTTGCAGCAATATGGATAGACCTTGAGGGTTTTACACTAGGGGAAATAATTCAGAGAAAAACAAAATTATTTCCCTCACATGTGAAATCTAAAGAACAAAATAAGACAAAGCCAGACTCATAGAGAACAGACTAATAGTTGCCAGAGGAGAAGAGGTTGGGGGTGGGAGGGAAATAGGTGAAAAGGTACAAATTCCCAGTTATAAAGCAAATAAGTCATGGGGATGTATTGTACATTACGGGGAATATAGTCAATAATATCGTGTTAACTTTGTATGGTGACAGCCAGTAAGTAGATGCATTATAGTGATCATTTCACAATATATATAAATGTCAAATCACTGTGTTGTACACCTGAAACCAATATGATACTGTATTTCAATTACACTTCAATGTAAAAAGTTGTTTATACTGTTCTTGCCATATATTCATACATTTGGAATTATTGCAAAATAAAACGTTAGCATTTAAAAAAGGAGAATATGACTAAATATTTCTTAAGATAACACTCATAATATTGTATAGACGGCAGTTAAAATATAGGAAGGGGGACATGAACTGAAAAAAACCTCCAAAAACAGTTATTTTTCCTTTAAACTCTTCATATAATATAACGATCTAGTTTTTAAATAGGATGTTACATTCTTACTGTTTTTTATTTTATGGTTAATAATGTGGCTTTATATTACATAGATTATTTTGTATGTTTCAGATATTACATTGAAAAATTTTCTAAGATATATCCCCCTAAAGTATACACTGAATTATGTAAATATAAAAATGCAGAATCCCAAACAAAATTAACAGTATCCTTCAAAAAAACAAAATTAATGATTTCAACTTTTAAAATCACTGTAAGTTTCCCTAGCTTTTTATGTGAATTGGTCATTTGGGATCTTTTATAAAATACAATTCCACCCAAAGGGAAGATAAATATATTAGATGAAGGGTTTTTAATGACTATTTAAAAAAATAACTAATTATCAGTGACTTCTGAAAATGACAAAATATTCAGCAAATGGTATCAGTGTATAATAGACAGTATGAAATTTAAGTACATGCACCAAAAAAACACATTTAGTAACAAAAGAACACCATTTTTAAGGAATTTGATATTTCCCAAAGAATCAAAATAGGATTCATCAAAAAATACAACTTTGTTGAATTGCCCCATACTTGTTTTATGATGTAGTACTGATTTTAATCACCAGAATATAAACATAAGAACAAGTCATTTTTTGTACTGTTTGTCTCCAGCACTTAGAACAATACCTGAGCAGATGTTCAAAATCAGTTTTGAATGAATCACATCTGGAGATGATGCACTAAAATCTTTTTAATGCTTATGACACCTAAATAGTTATGTCAGCTCCAGCCACAAAAATATACAGTGCTATATTTCAAATATCAATAAAAAAATAATTTGAAATGTTTCTCTTTTTCATTTACAAAATTAACAGAGTTATGTCAGTGAAAAATAATTCCACTTTTCATGGCCTCTATTCAATAGTCTTTCCATCTTTGTTCTTTTTAAAATTAAGCTTTAGCCCATATAGAAGCAGAAACCAGAAAGACCTAAATCTGATATGTTCATTCTTGTTATGGATCAGACAGCATGAGTGCCTTGAGGAAAAGAAATTAAGTTGCAAGGTGCTGTAGTAGTGGATTGTGGGAAGAGTGGAGAAGGACAAAGAGGCAGGAGATTTTTAATCATAGGCTTTAGTTTAAATCAGAAATTTCTGCTGAGAATTCCTCTGATAATTGCTTCTAATTTCTCTATCATTTGTCTTCTATGTTTTTAGCTATGTTCATTATGGGGAAGATTTTAAATTTAAAATAATTGTGCATACTGAATTCTCTATTGCCTCAATTTTCATTTCATTACATCCCTTTAATATTATAATGAACAATGTATTCTCATGCATCCAGTTATTAAGGAACATTTGACTAGTCAAATACAACTTTAGAAACCTTACATTCTATTATTTTGGTATTCTATTTTAATGCATTCTTATAGCTTTTATTGTTTTTATTATACCAGTTTTCAGATCTAATTAATGCTGCCAGCACAATAGCTTGTTAAAATGCTTTGAGACAGTAAACAGTGGAGATGTATGCTGTATATATATATATATACACACAAATGGTTTGATTATTTTAAGTGATTGGATGTTAATTACTTAAAATGAGTAAATTCATTCAAAACAGTTAAACTTGCTGTGTGCATAAAAAACTGCAAGATCAAAATAAAAATATTGGGAGCTCCATATAATGCTACTCCCTCCTAATAATATTCAAAAACAAGCAGTACTTTTTATATTGTACCCAGAAGGATTGTCAGCCAGTTTCTAGTTATAAGGGATCACACCTTATTTCTAGATAGTATATTGATATAGGCTATCTATTGTATTAGGATGTAAGTTTAGCCTAAGTGAAAACTGACTTAGACAAGGCAGATGGCAGTATCTAGGCTGACACATTAGCTCTTCTGTTTAAAGTGACCAGATGTCTAGGTTCCTTCTTTCTTGTTTTTACCGTCCACCAAGTGGTATACTTTCCCTTTAAAGTATAAACTGGAAGTTGCACACATGACTTCCACTCACAACCCAGTGGAAGATCAATGGCAACACCTAGCTGCAAGGGAGGCTGCCAAGCAGTGTTTAAGCAACCGTAGCCCAACTAAAACTTGAGAGAATAAGCAGTAATCTCTTTCATAAGAGGTAAATACAATGAAAGCTCACAAATTTATAAAATTACTTTACATTTTTAAAAAATGTAGAAGTTTACAGTTTTCAGTTATATGACTCAGAATTTAGAGCCTCCACATTAAGGGGTCATAACTGAATTTCAAAAAAGGAAGTAATAATCAGGGAACAATATTAATTTTCTTCAACATGATTTTGAATATTGCTCAAAGTAATACTAATCCAAATGGGAGTCAAACTTTATTAGAATGTGCTATCCACAAAAATTTATCATTAAAACATAGTGATATGTTTCTGTTTTCTTATATTTCCTTTCCTGTGTTGGACACTGATAATCACCCAGCATCCTTTCTTCTTTTCTCCTCTTTCCTAAATAATCCCTGTTTAATTCAAGTATTCACAGAGAAAGGCTCTCTCTCTCTGTGTCACACACACATACACACACACACACACACACAAGAATAAAAAACACAGCAGCTACTTCACAATTGTGAAGAAAACTAACCTGTGTGTAAAGCTGCTGTTGCAGGCAGTAGAGTGGAGAGTCTAAAAGAACTTGGATCCTTGATGAGAAGTTTGAGCTGCTGAATCAATCTACCTCAATGCCATCCATCATAGGTAATACATTTTTTTAAACTGGCTTAAGTCAATTTTTCAATCACAAAACATCCTAATGGATGTGTATTCCTAAATAATGCTCTTCACTACTCACAAAAGCATTGAGCAATATGGTTTCTAGAATAAACACAACTCTGAAAGAAAAATTTTAAAACCCCAAATTGTCACATTTTCATGGAACAATTTCATATATATTCTGAATAAGTGTGAATAGGACTAAAATGATACAACTTAAGTTTTAGATGATCAAATCAAAACATTATAATTTTTCAAGGCATTGATTCCAATAAGAATTCACTGAAATCTGTATAATTTCTCATCTAACCATGTATCAGTGTGACCCTCTGAATTTCAACTGAATACAGAAACACAGCCATTAAATCAAGGACAGATGCCTGTTTGTCCAGCACTAAAAAAACAAGTGTTTTCCTGCTAAGGTATGTCTACCAATGTACTTTCTTTAAGGCTTTTTTTTCTTCATTAGGTTTATCTTCCACAAGAAGAATCCTGGAAGCTTATTTATTTTCATAGGCCAGAAGTGCTGAATTATTTAAATGGAACTTCAAATGTTCTCACTCTGCAGTAGGAATTGTCCTTAAAGGATCTTATAATAGTTAGATTCTATTGCAAATAAGCATTTATTTCCCTGACTGAAAGAAGAAACTATTGTATACTATCTGACTGGGGTTTTTTTCCTCGGCCTTCTTTCTTTTTTGTGATTACTATTTGTGACTTATTTACAATTTATTACTCTTTGTATCACGAGACACATCATTATAATTGTCAGTCCTATTTAAGGTTTTGAAAGAGAGTGAAAAAGATAGATGTTTTAGACCTCTGAATAAGAAGTGAAGTAATATTAACATGTGACTGAATGTTGGCTGCTTGAGTAAAACAGATGATCTGATGATTTCTAAAGGGAACACATTCTGGGCTGAGATAAGGTTAACATAACTAACTAAGGCCTCCTGAAAGAATGAAAATAAACATATATGCGCTACTTATAACTTCAAGGTGGAACACAGTTCTCCCTTCACTGCAATTTACCAGAAATTTACCAGAAATTCCCTACCTGTTAAAAGCAAAAGATAAAAAGCATTGATATATTCTAGCATACATGCTAGCAAATCATATAACTGAATTACAGTCTCAGATTGAAACAAAAGAAAAAGTTAATATCACAGCTTCTTAGTTTTACAAAGGATAAAGAAATAGAAATTGTAGATGTGGATGAAGGAGAAAATGATACATTTGTTTGAACACATGGAAAGGTGAATTTTTTCCTTAGTAAACTCATAAATAAATAAGGACATAATACAGTTCACATAATTAAGTAATGCTTTCAGAAATCATCATGACAAGATGCCAATATTACAGCCGGTTAAGAGCATAAAACCAGAATACTGGGGTTTAAATCTTGGGCCTACCACTTACTGATTGTGCGCCTTTAAGCAAACTAATGAACATCTCTGGTCCTCAATTTCCTCACCTGCAAGATGGAGATAATGATAATAATAGTAAATCGTTTATGGGGTTGTTACAAAGATTAAAGAGTAAGTATAGGTAATTATTTAGCGCAGTAGATGTACTCAAAAAACATAAACTATTATTAATAACTTCATATGCAAGAAAATTGTCAATTCATTCTGTATACGTAAGAAATGTTAACTAAAAGCATACTTTTATGTTTCTATTTCAACTTTCAGTGGTTATACAAGTACTTAATGATATGTGATTCTATTTGATAGCCTTGTTGAGAGCAAAATGTAAACCTGCAGTCTATTTCCTTACTTATCTAAATATTGATTTCTTCCAGTATATATTTTTTAAATAATGAATATGCTGGTTATAGTCACAAAGTATAAACATCTTAAATATCTAAAAAGTCTTCTTTTAAATATATTCATTACATTTAACATATTCCAATCACTTATGTGGCACATTATCAAAAATAAAAATAATAATATTTACTAGATATTTCAACTAGTATATTGGGTATTTTATTTTCACTTAGTTCAGATTTTTTTTTTTAAGAGAAAGAGAGTGGGGGTGGGGGAGCAGAAGGATAGGGAGAGAGAGAATTTTAAGCAGGCTCCACACCCAGCATGGAGCCAGACATGGGGCTCGATCTCACAACCTTAAGATCATGACCCGAGCCAAAATCAAGAGTCAGATGCTTAACCAATCGAGCCACACAGGCACTCCCTGATTGCTTTTAAATAACAACTATTTCTCTTTGACCTAAGAAAACAAAATTCATGTATTTTAATCACATTGCTCCCAAATCAATCTGCTTCCCAAATTATAAATATTGAGATACCACGGTATTTCCATATAGCATGTGTTACTTTGCATTTGGAAGTCAAACATTGTTCATAATCATCAAATATTTATTACATACCAGCCAGATTCAAGGCATCTCTTGGGCTGCAGGTAAATAAGCCAAAGAACTTTAGAACTGGAAGGACCTCAGAATGTGTTTGACAACTTCCTCTTTTCATTGGTGAAGAAACTGATGCTCATAAAATGACTCAAGACAAGAGAGAAGCTAGAGGTCACTAACTTTGGCCAGGCAGAATTTTCAGATTCCTGTTCACTACATTCCACTGCTTAATATTTGCAGAGTCCCTGTCCTCAGGTTATGGCCAAGTAACTAGAAAACTTGCTTTTCTGTAGAACAGCAAATGGATTTGATTCTAAAGGTTTTGTTATGGCCTTTTACAAAGTTATATTGAGACCCACCGAAGGTCCTATCTTCAATTCCACTAAAGCTACAGTGCTATTAATAGATCAAAAAAAAATTGGTGATATCCATAGTCCTATCTAAAGTTTGTGATAGAATCATTATGTTATCCTGATTAAAGAAATTGCTCTCCTTTGGTCATTCTGCCCCAGCTATTATCTGAGAACATGTAATCAAAAAGTGCTGGATGACATGTTCTAACAAGAAAAGATGTAGTTGTGTTATTAGAAGATGGTGGTTGAAAAAAAAAACTGTAAGAAAAAAACAAACTGCAATAAGATATTCTTGAATCCTGACATATTTCTTGGAAGACATAGTTTTAATCTTTTAATCAGTCAGAATATTTGTATTATCTATCTTCATTTTACTTTACACACAGTGACAATTAGAGAACAATCTTTTCTGAAGAGTAAAGAAGAGGGTTAAGCATCTACCTAATGAATGCTATCTGTGTAGAGACCAAACCCTAGAATTCTGTAGGAAATTTCACTTATTTTTCAATTGCTATTTTTAAGCTGAACATTCTGATTAATTGCCTTAATATCCAATTCTCTTTGTTAATATAAATTCAACCACGGAAAGGCCAGTAATTAAGAAGCACTTAAAATGGGGAGAATTTCCATACCTCCTTGACTCCTATTTGACAAAATGGTTTTTTGCTATTTCTTAAGACCCATTTGTATCACTGTAATTGGTGAAAGTAACACGCACACTTACATACAAATTTGGCAGAATATGAATGTTTAAATAATTTTAATATGCACAACCCCTTTGTTACTCGCCTCTCTCTTCACCATACTAGACAGATAGTGTACTATCCTTTCCTTCCTGGAATGTTTTAAAAATTATGCCCTTTGGTTCAAGAAAAATAGGTAATATCTTTGTCGGTAATGATTCAGATTCTAGTTTTAATGGTAAGGATGTCAAATGTAAACAAATAAAGGGAAAGTAGAGCTTAAGAGAGGATGTGGATTGGAGATTCCTCTAAATGTGAAATAAGAGAGGTCTGGAGATCCAGAGCAGTGAGGAAACTCACCCATTACCCTGGAAAAATTCTTCAGGGGAAGACTATGAGACCCAAGAGAGGAACGGCTGTGTGGTCCATCTAAGAAGTTTGTACCGAAGGCACAAATCAGCCAACTGAGCTGATGCTGGGTTGATCAATGTTCTGTGACCTAAGAAAAATACAGAAGCAGCAATAAGCTGATAGACCTGAAACATCCATTCGTAATGGTAACCAGTATTGATGGATGATTAATGACTTGCAATTCTCCTCCTACCTCCAAACCGTGACACAATTCTCATTGAAGCTTGAGAAGGAAAAACTTTGTTTCACTGTTCACCGGGTGGTCAGGCTGTGCTTGATAGAATATGACATGAGTGCAGCCAAGCTTAAAAGGCAAATAAGTGACACCCAGGGAAGAGACTAGTGCAATATTCAGGGTTGCTGAAAACAGATAATATGCACACCAGACCAAGTAGTACTGTATTAACTTACAGCAAGAAAGGAGAGAGAGTGTACACAAGATCTAATCCCTTGCTGTGCACCACCCTGGCCCAACAAATCCATTCCACAGGCATCACAGGCAGTGTGGCTGCATGCAGCCCAATTTTTGCTGCAGTATAAGGACTGCTACCTCTCCCCTATTGAGTCTGAAATACAGAAAGCTAGAGGTGTGCCTGTGGGCCACTGAAACATGTCTTTATTTTTTTTTAAGATTTTATTTATTTTGAGAGAGAGTGCACAAGCAGGGGGGAGGGGCAGACAAAGGGAGAGGGAGAAGCAGACTCCCCACTGAGCAGGGAGCCTGATGAGGGACTGGATCTCAAGACCCTGGGATCACGACCTGAGCCGAAGGCAGATGTTTAACATACTGAGCCACTCAGGTGCCCCTGAAACATGTCTTTAAATAGAACAAAGGAGTACATATTGAGTCTGACACAGGGAAAGATATTCCCACCCAAGGTGATAAGCCCAACAAGCCATTGTGGGTTCCCTATCTCTTAGTAAAGGAAGTATTCCAAGCCAAGACCCATTCTTAGGCAGCCAAACTGGGATTGAAAGACTGCATGCAGGAGACTGCCTTTCCTAACAAGTTTCAAGAAGCATAGTTAGGTCATGACATCATCAATTTAACTGCTTTTTAAAAAGATTTTATTTATTTATTTATTTGACAGAGAGAGAGAGAGCACAAGCAGGTGGAGTGGTAGAGGGAGAAGCAGGCTCCCCGCTGAGCAGGGAGCCCAATGCGGGACTCGATCCCAGGACTCTGGGATCATGACCTGCGCTGAAGGCAGACGCTTAACCAACTGAGCCACCCAGGCCACCAATTCAACTGCTTTTTAAATAAATAAATGTGATGTCTCCTGCAAAAATTAAAACCTCCCCAACACACATGCAGCTGACAACAGCAACAAAATGGTTCTCTCATCCATCTTCTGCATCTGCTCTTACTCCTTTTTCTCTATAACCCATTAAAATTTAAAAAGCCATCCTTGTCTCCTAGGCTTCATCAACCTTCTATCCAGTTTTTGCTCATGTCCATGGCTAACCTCTAGTGAAACATGATGACCATCTACCTGTATCTTACCTCTCTCACCATCCTTAACATCCTCACTACTTCTCATTACTTCTACTTCTCACTACTTCTAGTCACTTCCTCTTACTAAATTCTCACTACTTAACATCTTGCAGTCTGCTTCAGTGGATAAGTGATAGTGAAAACCAATAACAAAAACTACAGGTTTTCCCCACTCTCTGAGAGTAGAGTGCTCCTATGAAAGCTTTCATTAACTGAAACGACATAAAACGAAGAAGCAATCACCACTGTGTAAAAGTGAAAATTCTCTTCGCATTTCCTTTGGGTTAGTGAAAGCTGGTATTAATGAAGGTCTTTTGTAGAAGTGAACTCTAGGAAAGCAAAGGAAACCTATATTTGTGTCTGTGCAAAAAACTGGTTGGTTATGTATGCCCACATATTCTAATAATGTTTTACTTAATATCAGTGACTCTTTTGGACTATCTCTTTTTCTTATTCTTTCTTCTTCATCATCCCATTCTAATCTGACTTTCCAAATGTACCCCCCAACACACACACGGAGCTGTGTACCTACACAAATATGCATGCACATGAACATGCAGAGTCCGTTCATCCACTTTGACTTAGTGATTTACAATGACTATTTTTATGGAGAAAAAATTTAAGACCAATTATAAAAAATAATAGTGTCTTTAAATACACAATATAGGTTCACAATTTCACATAATTATATAGCCTGCCAGCACAGATTGCTTGATTGACTAAACTCAGAAAATAAATGGTTAAAATAGTTTAAAAATAGTTGTTTGCTATTTTATTGTAGGCTATAATAATTATTTGGAGAGACGACTCATGCTGGTGGCAGTTACTGGTTATCAATAATTAATCCCCTTTGGGCTCTAAGGGATTAACCACTTCTTAACTTCCTCTTCATCATTTATCTTGAACTCTTTTGCTCTACCTTTCCTTCACACACGCACATACACGAGTCCTCTTTCTATCACAGGCAACGTTAATCATACAAGAACAGAAAATCTTCTCATTAAAGCCCTGAAGCTCATTAGGGAAGTTTAAGTTATTCTAACACTTCCCTGATATTGTTGTATCCATGTAGTCAAAAGTGCTGACTTTCCTGCCAGTTAATTGTCTTATATGAGCTGACCTAAAGACCAAAGTGTATTTTCTATGCTGAGTAGAAGACGGAGTTGTAGCTGTTTTTACTAAAGCAACTAATTAAAAAGTTCTCTGCCAAAACACTATTCTTCCTTTAGTGCGATTACATTAGCACATGCTTGTAAGCTTGTTGCAGATATGCTTTATTTTATACAACTGATGCATTTCTGGAAAGTCAAGGATATTTGGAACCCATCTGAGGTGCAGAGATTTCAGGCTAACAGAAACCTATGCAAAATAATCTGCTAAATGAAACATTCTGAGGTATACAGCTATCCTCTAATGTATAAATTTTCTTATAAAGTAATTGTGGGAACACAAAAATAATATTCTATTAAGCTGAAAGAGCACTGGTAAGACAAAGAGTGCAATGTAAAAAAGGAAAGGAAAAAGCAAAGAGTCAAAAATACAACAGACAGATTTGGCAATGTCTGAATATGGGCAGTGAAAGGAGAAAGTCTCACCTTCAGAAAGCAAGCCCACCTAAGACTGATTGTCAAGGAATTCCAGGAATCACCTAAAGCAATAGCGAACAATTAGGGAAGCTGTTTAAGAAAGAGAAAAAAGACTCTTATGTAGTGTACCCAAGTGGAAAGTATACACATAAAAGATTTCCTCTCTCATTGAGTCAATGCAGTAGAAAAGGCATTCTTGAAATTAACTGAAGTATCAGTTTTAAAGTTCTAAGTCTTTCAAACTAAAGAGTAAATAGCATGACAAATGTGAATTTTTTTAAGTTGCAGGGCAACCACTGGATTAAACAAGCTAAACGAGTATAATTTTTCTGCAAGCCTTTACTTTTTAAGTATGGTAGCATATATGGTAAATCTTCAACAGAAAGAGTATTTTCCAAATTTAAGCCACAGAAATATTTGCTCCAATTATTTCTAGGGGGTAAAGATCAGAGCACCATAAATTATCATAAAGTTATACTAAAATCCAAATAAAAATTATACTAAAAATGACATTAGCAGACAGGAAATACTTAAGTCTAAGCAGTTGATTAAATTTTATTTAAAATCAAAATTTCGAGTATTCATGTGGGACTGGACACATGGCTGGTGTAGAATGATGTCTGGTTTTGACAAGGCTGTGAAGAGAAGAAAGGCACTGTGTGCCAACTAGAAAAAATAATGGGCTTTACTATGGCTAACAGTACCAAAGCATTAAGAAATATATAGACAGTGTCTTCCTCCTGACTGATCTTTGGAGTGTTCTGTCTTAGACCTGCCAGTGGCAAGATGTCTTCAGGAGATGTCAAAATTGGGCATCCTGCCCCCAACTTCAAAGCCATGGTTGTTATGCCAGATGGCCAGCTCAAAGACATCAACCTATTTGACTACAAAGGAAAATATATCGTGTTCTTCTTTTACCCTCTTCACTTCACCTTTGTGTGCCCCACAGAGATCATTGCTTTCAATGACAAGGCAGAAGAATTTAAGAAACCCAACTGCCAAGTGATTGGTGTTTCTGTGGATTCTCATTTCTATTGCCTAGTGTGGATCAACACACCCAAGAAACAAGGAGGACTGGGACCCACAAACATTCCCTTGGTATCAGGCCCCATGCATACCATCACTCAGGACTATGGAGTCTTAGAGGCTGATGAAGACATCTTGTTCAGGGACCTCTTTACCATTGATGATAAAGGTATCCTTCAGCAGATCACTATGAATGACCTCCCGATGGACCAGATGAGACTCTGAGACTTCCAGTTAACTCACAAGCATGGGGAAGTGTGCCCAGCCGGCTGGAAGCCTGGCAGTGGTACCATTAAGCCTGATTTCCAGAAGAGCAAAGAATATTTCTCCAAGCAGAAGTGAGCACTGGGCCATTTTAGGGCCAGGCTGCAGAGGGCAGCCATGAAAACAGAAACTTGTTTGTACTACTGTGGTCATGCTTAAAACACACAACTTTAGACTCAGTGCAGATGTGGTATAGGACAGGACAGGCCTTTCCTGAAGGGCTTCGGGAGGCCAGCTTTCTTCCTCCAGGGAAAATGGCCTGAGCTGTGCTATGGGCCAGGTCAACTGATATGTAGTTTAGTGGGGCATCACTTTTGATCTTTTGTTGTTTCTATTAAACTTGAACTGAGAAAAAAAAAATATATAGACAGATGAACTCTATATGGCTGTTTGACATCCTTCAGACTAAAATTTAGATGAATGCATGTAGTCACAAACTTCTATAGGCTTGAGCATGAAAAACAAAAGATAGAAAAGGTCTAACTCCCAGGGAAACTACTGTAGTTTCCTTAGCACATCCCAAATATCACATACCTTGTAAAATGTTCTTTACTATTTATATACATTGTTGCTTCATACAACATAGAAATTCCTGTATCATAGTACACAAGCTAGGTTATAAAAGCCTCAAACTTTTCAATTACCAACTATAGACAGGATCCTATTTCAACAAATATATAACCAATATGAGTTGTGGTCTTAGGCCAGATTTTTTAC